AGTCCTGGCTCCCAGGACCCCTGCTCTAATCACCAGCCCCCACTCCCCTCCCAGAGCCGGGGAAAGAACCTAGGCGTCCGGGCCCCCAGCCCCCACTCACGGCTCCGGGGCGGGGGTAGGGCACGCGGCCGGTGTAGGGCACCCACTGGTAGCTGCGCCCCTCTTTATGGGCGAAGGGGCCGTTAAACGCGCTGCGGATGGTGTTCAGGGGGTACACGCAGACGGCCGAGCCCCGGAATACCGACCTGGGGGGGACAGGGGGATTACAGACTGCCCAGCCCCCCTGGGGTCGCCCTGCCCTGTCCGAGACCCCACCCCCAAATCCCCAGCCCCCCCAATGCCCACCCCAGCCCCCCGACTCACCCCAGGGTGGAGAACAGCCCGTACACGCGGGGGTTCTTCTCGTCCTGAGTCGGCAGCAGGAAAACGTCTCCTGGAAAGGGGGGCGGGGAGGAGATGAATCACATATAGAACCCAGGCGTCCGGGCTCCCTTCCCATCCCCCACTGCTGTAACCCACTCCCTGCCCACAGCTGGGGAGAGAACCCAGGCATCCTGGGCCCCCCTCCCATCTGTGACCTTCTTCCACACCCTGTATTCAGCCCCCCGCCCCTGTGACTGGCTGCACTACTACGGTCCCCGCTCTGACGTCTGCCTGGATGAAAGTTCGTAACCCGCTGAACATCAGTGTCCCAGTGAAACATGAGTGGTGACCTCAGCCGTGGGGTGAGACGTTCCCTGCCCGCGAACGCGGCTGGGACCTGCCCCAGAGCCAGAGGGAAAACGTCGGTGTTGCCCCGGGGCCGTCCCCAGACCTGACTTGTCCTGGCTGGCGCAGTCGGGACTAGGAATTTGCGGGCGTTCGGCTACGGCTCAGACTGAGCCCCGGGGAACGTCCCTGCCCCCCCCGGTCTCCCCAGGCTCACGCAGCTCGTCGAAGAAGGTCTCCACTCCATCCTCGCCCATCACGGAGCAAACCAGCCGGGCCTTCAGGAACGTCGTCCACTTATTGACCAGGGCCCGCTGCCCGCCGTCGTCGTTCTGGGAGAA